ATCAACGAACTAATGGCACGTGTTATGTATGTGGCAAACGAGGTCATTATGTTAGAGATTGCTGGTTAAAAAAGAATCAGCAAAAGAGAATATAGCAACCTTTAACAAGGAAAAGAAATACAATAGTGAAGAAGAATGGGATGTTGAAGCATCCACAATAATAATAGAACAGTCTTAAGAAAAAAATTCAATTCAAGCTTAAAGGACGAATCAGCATTGGTGGTAGTCCTACTTGAACAAATGGATTGTGAAGATAATTGGTTCGATGACTTAGGAGAAGATAATTGGATTGATGACTCAAGAGAGGACATCGTGATTTATGAAAAGTCTACTTGTTGGAATTCGCAGATGGAAGAACTACTAGACTCGGAAGAAATGTTTGAAGAAACATATGCTTGGCAGATACTGTAAAGGGTGGAACTGCTAAATTTAAAGGAAATGAAAGACAAATTGCAAGAGGAGGTCATAGAAGCACAACAAAGCACTTAGGGATCTAAAGGTCTACATATGTCAAATGTTAAAGTTGAGTTTATAAGAGGGTGGAACTACTAGACTCGGAAGAAGTGTTTGAAAAAGCATATGCTTGGTAGATACCGCGGAGGGTGGAAATGCTAGATTTAAAGGAAACAAAAGACAAATTGCAAAAGAAGATCATGGAAGCACAATGAAGCACTGAGGGATCTAAAGATCTACAGGTATCAAATGTTAAAGTTAAGTTCATAAGAGCGACATAGAGCTCTGGACAAAATGACGTGGATCAAGAACCATTAGCGAAGGATCAACGAAATCTACAGGAAGAGATTGAGGTATGTACAAACTCACGATCACAAATAAGGAAGTTGGGTGGAAGTTAGAAATCAAGTATCAAGTATTCTAACTTAAAAATAAAAAATGAGAAAATCATGAAAGAAACGAAAACATTGAATGAAGGGCCGGATATATTGAACGAAGTATTGATTGCTCCAAACATGTTGAGTTCGAGGTAAAGCTCGACGTGAAGAAAAAGAAAAGAGTTAAAATTAAAGTCGATGTTGAAGGGGAGAATTGAAAGAGTCCGCACCAACTTTGGCTTCTAAATTGCTTCATAATCTAGACTTTTCTTTTTGCAGCAAGATCTAGAAGAAGTCTAGAATAATCCAAATTGGTAATAATTATTTGCAGCAACCGACTTACTAGAATTGTGTAGAGAAGTCTATATATATATATATATATATATATGTATATGCATGTTTAGCCTACACTTTTTGTGTATGAGTGATGAGAGAAAGAGAGATACAAAGAGATGTATATATGAGTGGTGTGAGAGACAGTGATAAAAGAAAGAGAGATACAAAGAGATTTATTTTTAAACGAGCAATTTGATATGTCGTGTGTTGTCTGAAAAACCCATTTGTTCTCTGGTTCTTGCAGGAAGTAATATAAATCTTGTCATTACAGATTATTGTATGCCAAGAATGACACGCTATGATTTGCTCAAGAAAATGAAGGATTTTTTCTTGGTTTCTTCCTTTTGCTTACTCATCATTCATTTCCCACGCACAGATTTATTTCCTTTCCTAGAAAATATGTCTGTGCCAATCAATCTTGTTACATATAGAACAAACTTACGTAATGACTTTTTTAATGCCACGTGACACTGTATTATTGGAAAGTTTAAGACACAATCAGTTTTTTCATCCAATCATTTCCTTCCAACTCATCTTCGGGTGCTACTTCTGAACAATTTCTTCATGCAAAGAAAATTAATTCCATGGCAACTCGCCTAATCCAGACTGTAGTTTTGTGGGATTGATGTGTATGGCCACATGGGTCCCTTTCTTGCATATCAATGAGAATCTTTGTGAAATCTTTGATTTGTGTAGTCACAAATATTGAAAGAACATTTTAGCCCAACCTATCTTTTCCATCCAAAGCCATTTTCCATTTACACTGGACGAAAATTATAAAAGACAGTATTAAATAGTATTAAATATGTGTTTGAGCCACATTATTTTGGAAAAATGTATTTTGAAATAGTCGATTGATGGAGAATGTGTGGTTGAAAAAGAAGGAAAAGTTATTGATGTGATGGAAAATATTATTTTATTGAAGAATATGTGGTTAAAAATGAGTAGAAAATTAAAATGAAAATTTTAATGTGTGTCAAACAGGAGCTAAAGAGGAAACAACCACCAAAAATCCTCAACAACATATTTAGAATATGTTGCCAAAAAAATCCACTTTAAGGAGCTTTTAATCGCTCGCAAGCACGCTCTTAGCATGATTAATAGTACTAACTAAATAATAAAAAGACATTAAGGATGTGTTTGATTGCAACGAATTTCATGAAAAATGTAACATTCGAGAAAAACTAATTCCACTTTGACCGTTTGATTGTAGGAAATGAAAACCGAATTCTAAATTACAACCACTTTAAACTGTATTTTCTTTGTTTACATGAAAAACGAATTCATATAGGTTTGGTGGGTTTTTATTTTCCAACTACCATGGAATTGAAATTCATTTCCATCTTTACCTATCAAACGGTCTCTAAAATTTTGACTTTACAGTTCTGTCCGGCACTTAAATTCCATAGTAAATATGGGGCTTTCTTGTTTTTTGCCGGGAACCTTCATCTTTGAGAAACATACCACTTGTTATTATGTCCTCTAAACACGTTTCCTCGAGGATCAATAGGTAACAAAATTTTTACAATTTACTCAGCCCCGTGTATTTATGTGTTGAACTGCCTTGTCTAAGATTCTTTTTTCCTTCGTTAAAAGCCCGACACACCCACAAATTTCATAAATGGATAGTTGTTCTGATATTATATTGAACTTCTGCATGATTTGGTGGGATAATATTTGATAGATCGAATACATGAGACAGATGCTTAGATGAAGGAGCAGAAGAATTTTTGCTATAGCCAGTGAAAAGATCGTATGTAATCAAGCTTAAGCAGCACATTATTAGAAGAAAATGCAATGAAAAGCCTGAACAAGAAGAATCAACAGAAGCATCTGAAAATAATCAATTACAGACAGCATGGAAAGCCATGGATGAAGACAGAACAAGGCCCCAACTCAATGTGCTGTCCAATTAATCATTGGAAATTTATTATTTTTTCTTTTTTCTTTTTTCATTTAAAATGTTTCTTGACCTTTTTTTAGTTCTTGTCCTTTATTTTTATTTTATTTTTTTGCTTTTTTTCTATTTTTTTAATATTAATGGACTTGTACTGAGAGAAAAGGAAGAGGGGAGCCGTTCACCGCATTATGATGAAATATCTATCCAATTTTTTGATACTCAAAATGTGGAATCAAAATGTTTCATTAATATCTTTCAACCTTTGAAATCGAGTTGACTAATTGAGGCTATATTTTAATTTTTCAATAATTTTAAATTGTGTAGTTCCCAATAAATAGAAGTCAATTGCTTGACATGACATTTCTTTAATTTGCTTAAATAATTAATATTTCTTCTTAACTGTTTTGATGCTTCGATCAACATTTTCAATTGAATTAATAATGTTTTGTTGCTTAAATACATGGGTATTTTTATTTACAAAACAGATATTAATAATCATTTATCTAGAATTTTCTATATAATATGCACACACTCTAAATGGAAATATTAGTTTTTTATGTTGTGAGAAAAACGAAGTTCAAGCAACTTGAAGATTGTTTTAGCCCCCGTTTGATGCGGATTAAAATTAGATTTTTATAAAAATTGATAAAATGTGTGGTTAAAAAGTTGTGAATCCCATAAAATATGTAGTTAAAATTAAGAATATAATCATGTTACATGAACATCAAGGTTGACATAAAATTTAACATAATGTCACTTAACATTCTATCATTGGATGGTTAAAATACAGTCAGCTTTTCTACACAATCATCTACTACCTACCATATGCAATTATGCCAAACTTTCTGTCAAATCCTGTTGGTAAAGTAGTTTTATTATTTTTAATATTATTCATAATGAAAACTATCAATAGTCGCTATATGTCACATACACATGACATATTATTATTTGATGCATGATGTAATTAAAAACTAACACATTAATCTATGTCATGTAAAGTGATTTAGTTACTTTAACTTGAATTAAATTTGAAGTTTAATTTGTATCAAACAAGAACTTAATTTAGTTTGGGGTGATATTGCAAGAAAACTAAACGGATGGAACTCATGGTCTGGCACCATCAAATTTCTGAACGGATAACGCCACGGAATTTTTTATTTGAAATACTCAGATTTATTTTGTACTTTGACCTCGTAATAGTAAATTTGTTCCTGGAATTTTTAAAAGTATAATTATACCTGGTAACGTAAGCCGCAATAACTAAAGTCCCTCTTTACTTTCTCTATCCGAAAGATGTTCTCACTCTAAATTCTCTCAATCTTGCGAACCAAAAAAGTTTCTTGAAAAACCAAGAAAGTTTCAGGTGAAATACCCTTTTGAATTCAATAAAGTTCAATACTGTATTTTATGTTTGTGCATTAATTTTTTTGCAAGTTACATCATACATGCATATATATTGTGTTTTGGTGTGTATGTGATGTGATCTTTAGGTTTCAGAGTGATCCTTTGTCCTTTTGGTTTGTTTTGATGGTGATCATGGCTAAAGATTGATGGGCTATTATTGTCATCGTACTTGAGGATTTGGTTTTCTTGATGCCTCGTTTGCGTTTTATTGAACAATCCCTGTTGTTACAGGAGTTAATAATTGTTATCATGAAGGGTTTGTATGCCTGCTGTATGATAAAATAAATAAACGAGAGTAAAAAATATATTTTTTCTTTTTTCAAGAAAAGTTGGTAGTAAGCTTTAATTTGACAAAGCTTTGTTAAATATCTATTATCATGGTTTCCCCAATATTCAAAGGTTAGACAGGGTGATAACGAATAGAAAGGTGTTGTATGGGTAAAAAAGAGTAAAAGACCAGATGGAAGAATGGGGAGCTGCAATAATTATTTTTGGAAAAGAAGTTCGAATAAGAACCTAGGCTTGCAACAATGGGAACAAATATCGTGAATGTAGGTATAGATTTGTGCCAATTGTTGCATTTGGAAAGAAAGATGATTGGTAGTAGACAAGGCTGGTGTTTTTTGTAGGTTTCGGTAGCGGGGTTAATTGGTAAATGTGGGAGTCTCAGTTGGACTGTTTTAATTGGGTATTTTGGCCACAACTGGTGGTTGTCATGGAAAATGAGGAGAAAAAAGTTTGAAAATAATGTTTTCACTTTGTTGAATTGAATTTAGGCTTACCAGAAATGAACTAAAACAACATCAAAATTGAAATATCCAAATATAAATGTTGTGCTTGCCTTTTGTTCCAATAAAGGTATTAAGTAGTTTTGGTAGCAAAAGATATTTTTTATTATAATTTTCCTCAAACTATTGACATACAAGGAAGTGCAACTCACAAGAGCCACTTCCCTATATGCACCGCTTTGGTTCTCTAAATTCTCCCTTGCAACTAGAGAAGCTCTTTGAAAACCTTACGATATTTGCGCCAAAATAAATACTAAGTTAACAAAAGTACTGTTATCTAGATCCATTTTCAATCATTTTTTAATCTTGAAGCTTCCATACCTGCAGATGAATGAGTACATTGCATGCATATGCATTTGTGTGTGTATATCTGTACACCTGTTATGATCAAACAAGTGCTTGAGTTTTGTGTTCTGATAACCATGTCAGATGGCTGAATGCTGATGGTTGGAGTGATTTGGTGAAAGATTTTATGGTTCTTTATGTGCTTTATAGAAGTTCTTAGTGGATTAAGAGTTTTAAAGTTTTGATCATGTAACCTACACACGTGTAATTGTTATTTGATTGGGAAAGTGTGTACATATATTAACTCGCTAGGATAAGCGGTATTATTGAACCAGACAAAATGAAGGATCAGTATAATTTCCTTGATTTTCAATTTTTTACATTTTAAATTTGTGATTCATTGCATTTAATGCCTTGTGATAGTAATTTGTGATGTTTCTCCTGACGTGTGTCCCTGACAGCTACATTTTTTTCAACTAGACTGCCTTCTTAAGTCAAACCAACAAAACATGAACGGAGTGGCCCAATTGTATCAAATGCTTAAGTGAAGTGACCCAGTCGTGCCAAAATTAAGTATGGTGACTTTCATTGGGCGGCATGTTTCTTATGCTGCACAATTCGTATCACCAACGTTTTTTATTATTTTTTCTGTATTTGTTAATGTGTTAACCATTTTACCTTCTGTTGATTCATTCATTAGAAAAGATTCCCCTTGAACTATTGTTTTTGTCCGTACACCATTTTGTTTTGAGTTTTTTATATGTTAATTTACCTCACCACCTGAATTGATGCAAGCATTTCAGGTGGTATACATATTGGATTGATTAGAAAAAATTGAGCAAAAGCATAGTTCTGCATACGATGTCATGAAAAATTAGCCATAACCAGCTGAAATAAATCTCATCCTGGTGGAGATTTTGCATGATGGCTAGCGGAGAAGGTAGGTAAGTGGCAGTTCAAGATATACAGCTGGTAAGTTTCTCAACTTCATTTACACATTTTGCTTATAAATGCCTTTGTTCTTTCTTTTAGTTAATAGGACTCCATTACAATGCAATGAAGATTTGGAATGTCAGCATATGAGGATGTTTATATATTGGTGCTTTGAGAAGCACCTTCTCTTTAGTTGGCTATTTTTGTGCTCATATTTTTGAAGTTTGTCTTGACAAAAGAGAGCCAATGGATGGCTGCGTGACTTGGTTCATTCATTGATAATAGAGTCGCTAAGAAAGTAGAAGGAAGCTCTCTAAAAGAATATAATCAGTGTCTTTTTCAGAATATGTTATGTTATTTAGAAGTTTTTAATTTGTACTTATAGTTTTTTGGAAAAATGACGTGCAAAAGTTTAATCATCTATGATTTTGGAACAAAGGATGATTTTTCCTTGTTAGGTATATGTCATTGCATTTCTGGCAAACTTGATTTAAAGCTTTTCTGTGGAAGCAATAGTAGCTCCCCCTCCCCATCTTTTTTGAGTATATTTATTTTAAAATATATCTATCATGGTAAAAATATATACTGTCATGGTGCTAACCTTGTACTCTTCAATAATATCAGGTTCAAAATCTTATAGAAAGGTGTCTTCAGCTTTACATGAGCCAGAAGGAAGTTGTAAATACTCTCTTACTCCAGGCAAAGATTGAGCCTGGTTTCACTGAACTTGGTAATGTTAATTCTTGGATAGAGTTTTCTTCTTCTGTGTGTTCTTATTAGGTAGTGGATTTTACTCACACAACATATCAGACATTAGATGATTAACTTGAAGCTACAATGTGAATAACTGTATAATCATCATCTCCTTATGCATATGAGAACCTGCACTTCTTTTAGTAAAAAATATGTATTTCTGACATTGTGAGGCTTCAAATTTTGCTCCGGTTTAGTATTTGATATGGGCAATGGATTTGTCTTAACCTAAGTAAGTTTGATGGTTGATGCTAGTGTTTGATAGTGAGTTTTATATGTTTCACAACATGATGTCCTTGGTTATAGGAGCCCTTGTAGTATACCAATTCTTCTCAATCTATTATGAAGAAAAATTTAGAGATCTTGTGTTTTCGTGTTTGTTTTCATTGGAAGGGTTTAGTAGGCAAGTGCATACTGTGTACTTGTGTAGAGTTAGGGTAGTGACTTGGGACATATTATACTCGGTGCTCGCTTGGTAGTGCTTTCAAGTGTTTATTAGTTGTGGGTCCTACGTAATGTGTGGATAATAAGTAGGTACTAAATAATGGATTCTACAAATTTTTGGATAAAAATATGTTTGACTAGCTTAAAAAAAATGTAAGCTTTTGCCAAACATGCACTCAATATCATGAACATGAAATCCTTGAGTTTTTTCAATCTTCAAAGTTATTTGGGTTCTACAACCATTTTGTTACATTCTTCTGTTATATCAACAGAAGTTCTGGGCATATGTCTGTTTTTTATTAAGACCTGCTACTGAACAATAACGAATTCAAAGCATGCTATTTTCTTGTCCGATGATTATGGAAGTCATGAGGCAACATTTGATATGTTACCACCACTTAGCTTTTCTCCAATAAATAGTAGGGGAGAATTTTGTGCTAATAAATTTCTGTGTTGTAGCAGCAATCAGCATATTTTGTCATTCCTGCCCTTGATAGTTGTTAATATAAATCTGGTCTGTCTTCCAGTGTGGCAAAAACTTGAACAAGAAAATCCAGAATTTTTCAAGGCATATCATCTCAGGTTAATTGTGAAGGACCAGATATTGAGATTTAATCAATTACTTGATAGACAGATTCAGTTGATACGTCAATTATATCCAACTGTAGTCGCTCCCATTCCTTTGTCCAATGGATCACAGATTCATCCAAGTAAGCAAGCTATTTGATATGTGGTTTTCTATATATGAAGGTTATACCTTCTTCTGTAAAGAAAAAGTTATACAGATAAAAGAGGTGTCCCTCTGTTGGTATTTAGATTCCTACATAGATGAAACACTGCTTGATTATATACATATTTATGTTGGGATTTTGGCGTGCTCATCTGAAAGAAGTTTTCTATTCGATGGAAGAGATCTTTTCTTTCTATTTCCTTGTACTTTGCTGGTTACTTTCCTAGGGATAGGCTCATAGGGTTAAAGAATCTACCTCTCTTCTTCATCAGGGGCTGTCAATGGATTGATAACCTATGGTTCACTAATTAGCACTTTAACCTATGTTCGGATTAATCTTATATCTAAGTCAGCTTTATATGACTATGATAACAGAATTTAGATGTTGCTCCTTCAATTTGATGACTTAAGCATTGGGGAAGATTGTGGTGAAAGAGTACACAGTGAAGCTTTACATTACTTGCATGCTTCTTTTATTTCTTTGATAGTCTTTTGGATTTATGACGTACATAGCAAGCTCAATGTTGCAGTTCATTTAACATTTTAAAGGAGAAGAACATAAGCAAGCTTTACATTCCGTCTTAATGTCTACAAATATTGCTTAGACTGTTGATTGTACTTGATGAGAGGGCGTATATAGGTTTTGAAAACAGGATAGAAGAAGTTGTTATTGTTAGAACAGTTTTTTTTTTGGCTAGAATAAGTTTAAACTGAAACATGGCACTGCCTCTTAATATTTTTTCTTCTTAAACCTCTTTCCCCTGGATACTTCCATATCTGATTTTTGAGTTGTATTAGATACTAGGTTGCTGGAGCTCTATTATGCCGAAACACTTTTAAGTTCCATAAAAGTCTTTTCATAATCTACAATTGTTTAGTTTTTCATGTCAAAAATTTTTTATAGTTTATCATGAAGGTGATGAACTCTCAAATAGGTTTTGCTTGTAAGTTCAGCTGGTTCTAACTTCTCAATTGATGCTGAAGGGTCCAATTTGATATTCACTCTGGCCTGTAATGATCCTTATTTTTATTGCTCCATTTGCTGTCAAATTTAGAACTCAATTAAAGATCTGGAAGAGAAATTTGGGTGTCGGGACAAAGAACCAAGGATGTTATTCTGGAGATGTGATGCACGATTGTTATCAATCTTCTTGTCTTATCTGAAAATTGTTGCTCCGATAAAGTTCAAACCAATCCTTTGTACAAATGAGGGTATTGCCTCTGCTGGTTAGAAATATAATTGCTTATCAAGCTCTGGAAATTTTGTTCGACAATTTAAGAGTTAGAACCCCAATGCTACTCTGACATCTAGTGTCGAAATGGTGGGAAAAGTGGCACCTAATTTCAATCATTCTTTTTATAGTTGGTGAAAATGGTGTGAAAGTTGGTGAAATTTGGAACTAAATTTGAATTTCTTTTATTTATGTTTAATACTATATAAACCCTCTTTACTTCCCATTTGTTTTTCACACTCAGTTCTCCTCTCCTTTCTCTAATTTCTCCTACTCTACTCTCAATTTATCAAAATTTCAATTCTCACATTTTATATATTCGATTATTCAAATACCATATCATTTATTTAGTACTCTTTATACATAATTGTTTAAATATTTTCTCAATCACACAACACAATCTTTTTTGTAGAAATATTGATTCATCTTGCATTATATATAATGGATTTAATAGTTTTTTTGATGCTGAGGAGTTGAAAAACTTAAAATATCGTTTGTGAAGTCCCCATGATTATGATCAATTTGCAAATCTTAACGATATACCAATTATTTCTAACCTTCAAGTTCTGTTGATGTTGATGATTATTTCTTGGATTTGGAACCGCGGCCTTCAAAAAGGCCTTGAGGAGAACAAAAAGATATTCCTGTAAACAAATTTTTACACTAGAGAGTCAATTTGAATGGAAATGAAAAACGGTGAACAGTTCGTAAATTTTGCTAGAATAGGTTTTTCTTGAAAACTGGTGGTGGCACGATACCCTGCATAGGCATGTGTAGAAATGTGTGATTATATTTTCCTTGTTTTGACATGAAATATTCCTCCTGCACCTTTTCAAGCACCATGAAACACCAACAAACTGGAAATTTACGTTTATTTATTTATTCATCTGTCACCCTAGTTTCTAACCGCTGATTCCCATGATCTTCCTTTTCCGTCTCAATTTTATGATTTTGTTTTCTATCGAACGTATAGCTGTTTTTGATCTTCGCTGTCAAGTTTATTATCCGTTGATAATGCACTATGATTATTTATTGTCTTCTTTGCTCGTTTTGTCTACCTACTCATATCCAATGGCATGTGCATGCATGCGTTGCAGTGTGGGCACTAGCAGAGCTTTCTTTTCATGCTCGACCCAGAGAGTTCCTTTAGAGTATATGTTCATATTACTTTTCTTTTTGGATGCCTCTGCTAGTGTTTTCGCTTAATCATTTCTTCAGCAATTATATTACTAGTTTGGCTTAAAATGAAATTATTGTTATAATATTTTGGCAGTGCACAACAATTCAGCATACCATACCCCAGAACCTAGTGTACACCAACAACGTAGTAACATAACTAATGCATACACCAATGGCGCTTATCCACTTCAGCCGACCATACCTAATGCATACACCAATGGCGCTTCTTCATTTCAACCGACAATACCTAATGCTTACACTAATAGTGAATCTTCACTTCCACCATACATGCCTGTTGCAGTCAATATGGCGGGTCATGTTGTAAGGATTGATATATCAGCAGACATGCCATTGACTCAGAGGTCAAATGCAGGAATTATACAAGGAATGAATGGGGGGACGATGATATCAGAAGCTAGCCATGCAAATGATCCTAGGTTGATGTTTGGTGCAAACACAAATCTTCAACAGCCAAATACCACAATAGGAGATGGATCAGTTTCATCTTTCGCTGGTGTCGAGTCTAATTCACAGGCATTGAACGAGACTTTCCTGGATCATGACATGAATTCATTCGGATTCTTGGGATCCCGAAACTTCAGTTTTTCAGACTTGACAGCTGGCTTTTCTAATAATACTGGTGAATTCTCTATCTCATACTCCTGTGCATTAAAGTTCAATGCTACTGAAAAGTCTATTTTAAGAATTACTTTGTTATTATAAGTATACTTCAACTTTATGTAACTTAATTGATTTTGTATCTTCAGATATATTAAGCTATTCTAAATCTCCCTTCCTTGGAATGAATGAGAACTTTCCAGATCCTCATATTAGGGGAGAACAAGGTAAGGTTTTTCGACATCTCATATTGTTCTTGAATTTCAAGGATATTGCTAATATCTGTGTCCTATCTATGAGCAGACATTAAGAGGCTGGACACTGTATCAGAGGGGCTCAGTTATGAAGATTTTGGCAGTGATTGATTGAATAATTTTAATGGTACTGCTTTCTATCCATTATCCCCTTAAACTTCAGAATTGTTACTTCTCTCTTTTTCTCTTTAAAATGTGCAAGTGCAGCTAGTAACCTGATTGATAATATATTGTCTGCACTGGTATACTTGTTGGGGGAAATTTACACCTGTGACACCCAACCAATTCGTAAATATGTACTTCCGTATCAATTTTTTAAAATGGATCCCCAGACAGTTTCTGTCCATTAGGTCATTAAAACATCACATGGCTTGCACACTATGTAATCTTTGGGAGTATATTGATTAAAATGGTAAGAAATATGTCAGTTTTCCCTAAATAACATTGTAAATTGAAAGGCAAGGAAAACTAATGTTCTCCCTTACCCACGCCCATGCTTCATCCCTGCCACTCTACCATCTGGTTTCATTGCCCTCCGTCACGTAAGTTTAAAATATCAGTCGGTTTACTTGATTTTGCAAATATTAACGTAAGGAAACAAGATAAAACTCTGGGATGGGAGGTTTTACGGGTGTCTGGCGAGGTCAAATGTTGGACAATGCAATAAAGCTGCTGGGAGTTTAATTGAAATTCAAGCAATTCTGATTTGAAGTCCCCAATTGTATCCCCAAAAATACCAATTTGAAGGTCACAATATCACTGGCTACATGATATAGCATTTTATGGAGCCAGTTGTATTGTGGCTTTAGGTTCTCTGAGTGTGATTTTAAAGGAGACAAATTGGAAGGATTCAATTTATTCCCTTCCAGTTACCCTCTGGATTGTGGGGAGGAACAAAGGGTGTATAGTGTAGTGTGGGGTGGCATTGTCACCTTTCTGTGTGCTGCTGAAAACTGGGCAAGCAAGGGAGCTTTGATTTGAAACATGAGTAACAATGCGTGATAAGGAGACGAGGAACTGGACAGTTGGGAGTGGGGGGAGAAGAAGATGAATTCCTTTTGTTTTCTTTTATTTTTAAATTCAAAATGAGGGTGTAATTGCTGTTTTACCAAATATCCGTGGTACCGTAGAGATTATTTTCCAATTCATTTAAGTAATCGTTAAGTCATAATCAAAAGTTTCTGGGATCCTGTTCTTATCATTATTCTGAAATATGTTTTTTTTTTTTTACAGCAAAGTTGCAGTTGGATTTTGATTAACACGGCATTCTTTTGAATTTTTGTACCAAGTTGGTCTGCGCCTATCTAACTTCATATTGTTCTTGTGATCATGTTGTCGCAGGGAAATTACTTTCTAGGATTGAAGTTACTGTAAAAGGTTTTGTTGAGTTAGTGTGGTTCAGGATTTCAACTGTTTGAAGGTATTGATATTTCCATTTTTGATTGATAATTTATTGATGACAAATTACAGTATTAGTTTTCGACCGACAAGGTATTAGATACAAGCGAAAGTTTGTTACTGAATCCATGCATGTCTTTTGATTTCTTTTACCAAATTAGGCTTTTTTCATAGAAGTATTGTAGTGATTTCGGAAATCATGCTGTTTTTGTCGATGTGCAATGGAATGACATATTTACTGGTATTATCTGCGAGCATGTTTGGCTGAGCTTAGAAGCAAATATGTGTAGATAAATTACTTTTTTTTCTTACTTTGAAGTAATGAAGTTACTCATTTGAGAGTAAATCTTCCTTGTAAAATTAGTAGCGTGCTGATTCTGGATTAAATATTACTTGTTTAAAACCTTACTTACCCACTTAAAATTTCGTCATTTGACCAATTTAATTAATGGCAAAATGGTTAATCCACGTAATCCTACTTAAAACAATTAAAATAAGAAAAAAGAATAACTAAAAAAAGGATAAAATTAAAAGAATAGAAAAGAAAAATATATGAAAATGTTTCATCTTCCCCCACCATCGCCCACCTACAGTGGCCCCCTAACCTTGCCAACCGCCACTATCAGGGAAATTTCCCCCCTGGTTTCTGACCCAAACCAGCGGCTTTGGGGCTGGAAACCAGGGATAAATCTCCAACGGTTAGTAGGAAAACTTCGGGGTTTATCAAGATATAGGGTGGGATTCTACCTGGTTCTGAGTAAGTGAGCCCTTTTGCGACTTAAACCCATGAGTTTGAATCGCGAAACCAGAGGGGATTTATCCCCCCCTGCTCCAGTGTGATTGATGGTGGTTTTTTGGGTCTCAGATGGAGGCTGTGGGGTTTGGGATATGGGCGGCGGCGGCGGCGGAAGATTGCATATTTCTATTTTTACTTTTATTCATTTTTACTAATTTTCTTTTAATTGTTTTAAATGAAAAAATATGGAGGGACTATTTTGTTCTTATTAAAATTGGTAAAACTAAGGTCTATTGTGTGACTTTTAATCAACTGTCTTTTAAACGAAAACCATCCAGAGGTCCTTTCGGGCACATTCATTGAAAGGTTTAGGAATAGGTGCTAAGATTAGGAGGTTTGGTACCTCTGCTGCAAATTTCTCATTTACTGAATAAACCTTTTAAGCTTAGGCAAACATAACATGCTCAAGTCATATTCGAGAATTTCAGTTCTCCATGTACTCTTTTAGATCTTGTATGTCAGTAATTCAATATGTGAAAATGCTATTGTTATAATCTTTTACAGTGACTGATATTTCCGTTCGGGGAATGTTTAGCTTTGAGAAACTTCGCTTCGCTCCTCCAATGTAGTAATGATCTGTCTAGTTTAAGGGTTGCATCTGTTTAACTTTGACAAACTCAATTTCGAACCAACCATGTAGAGTGGTCTACCTAGTTTAAAGGTTGCTTTTATTATCCAGTTTCATCTTATATGTCATACTTGATTCATTTTCCCCGTGTTATGCAATTTGCAGTAATTGCTGAGGAATTCGTCAAAGAAACTTGAAATGAGTAAGAAGAACCAAAGAACAAAAGCAACTTTTTGGGTTTTCACTCATTCAAATATTTTTTTTCATGTATTCTTAGTGCTACTAACAATCAGGTTTAGTTGATAGCGTAATACATCTGATATTATGAATGGAATTTAATTTGGAGTCTTGTTAATCAGTTGAATGCCTCCTTTTAGTCCTCCTTTTCTCTATTACACAAACACCACTTTCTTGTTTCTGATGTGAACTTTTCTTACCTTCACATACAGCACAACCTTGGGTCCTAGTCGAGCAAATACTTGGACTAAGAACAAGTAAAAGAAGAGACTCATTTGGCAAAAAGCAATAGATTTTGCAATATTGCATATAACATGTTCGAGTTGAATATGTTCTTACATACCCATGGATTTAAGGATTCTGAGAAAAGAAAGTGAAGAGAACACGTTGAGGGGAAATTAAGGGCCAATTCAACGTATACATTACAGACAACCTAGTCAAGCTTCTATAAAGTATTTTACAACAAACCAAATAATCGATCATAAGCATTTCTTCTACTCTTCTTCCTACCTGCATTTATCGTAAAATCTTGTTAAGAGACTTTTCATGATTGGCACAACATACTGTGATGAAGCTCATAGTTACACATTAATTAGGAACCAAACGTTAAGAAAACTGCTGAAAAGAAACCAGGTCTGAATTTTAAACAGAGACAAAATACTTGAGCAGAAATGTGTCAAAATGCAACAAAAAAATCTGGAATTAAATTCTGTAATTTTTAGTGCCCGTTTGGCACTACTTTCAAAAAATCAAAAGGAGTTTTTGAAACCTAAAAGCTATTTTTTAACTCATTTGACTAATTTTATAAAAGTACTTCTAATTAAAAGTACTTTTTACAAGAAGCTGGTCCAATGTAACTTTCTTTAAAAACACTTCTAGAATAGGAACCACTTTTAAAAATTTGTTTCTAAAGAAACATTAAAGTAACTTCCTCCAGAAGCTGTTCTACAGAAAGTAAAAGATGTGTCAAATGAATCCTTGAGTCTTTTTTGCTAAATCTAGAAAATAGTGAAAAGAATCTGCATTTATCATAAAATCTTGTTAAGAGGCTTTTCACGACTGGCACAACATACAGTGATAAAGCTCTTAGTTACACATTAGTTAGGAACCAAACATCAAGAAGTTAACTGCTAAAAAAGAAACCAGGTCTGAATTTTAAACACAGACAATACTTCAGAAGAAATGTGTCAAAATGCAACGATCAAATCTGGAATTAAATTCTGCAATTCATGTGTCTTTTTTGCTCAATCTAGAAAATAGCGAACAGAATAAAAGTTTTCCCACTTAATTGGATATCCTATTGGATTGAATATATTTCATGCAGCATCGACCATTAACTTGTAAGAAAGAATAACCAACTTATGCATGCATATTTGGAAACAAAAATTGAAACAAATTAAAGTATGACTTTTTCAAACATGCTTGGAAGAAAAAGTGCCATAAAAAGATTCTAGTAGTGCCTATTATGTGCATCGCCAATAATATATCTCTCAACTCTTCTAGACCTGGTTATCGGTAAATAGCGGAATGTTTTTGGTAGTTAGAATAGATCGAGAGGAAAAAAGTTTTTTAATCTCATAACCTCGAAAATTAATCCGGAAAGCATATCTTTTGACATATACAATACAAAATACAATCAAAATTGCATTTAGCCAGCAGCGAATGGCATTCGTACATATATTTTCTTCCAGTTTCTAAAGTTAATATAACATAATGGCATGAAGAGTCAAACGGATGCAAACAATAACAGTAGGTGAGAGATGCACACGCATGCAAGAGGCAGGATGGGGGTGGGGAGAGCGAGAGAGAGAGAGAGAGAGAGACCGTCTATTTGATCTGGAATTTCTTCTAGTGGAGGTTCGAGTATCAGTGTTTTGACACTTTGTGCTGCTTTTCTTCAGCCTTGATTTAGAGGCACCTGCAAGTTGTGACATTATATTAGCACATTTTGAGCCTGAGATTCAAATTTAAATGTATCGAAATATGAAGCTTGTATAACCTCTTAAATTAACAAGAGGTGATTGAACTTCATCATCGTCAAATTCAGAATCTGTAATCTCACTAGAAGCCTGTGATTGTGCCTTCGACTTTGGATTTTTTGATTTTGAATGCAAAATTCCAGTCTCCTCCATGGACCTATCAGTTTCTTCATCATCTGATGCAATTGTAAAGGTGAAAACCATTACTAAGGTACATTATTTTCATGATATCCATAGGACATACTACATCAAATTGTAACAAAGATTGAAATTAGTTCATAGGAAGATCATCCCCTTGATGAAATTCCAGAAATCGAAAAGAAAAACAAAAGGAAAGAAAGAAAAGATTCTTTCCACAGTACAACTCTACAATCCTGTACAATTACAAATGTGTTGCACCAGAACGTATGTAGTTTGATACTTTCCCCAGAAAGACCTTTAATCTTGGAGTTAAAAATGAAAACTTCTTCAAACAGTTAAGAATTCATTAGACAGCAATGCAAACCTCATTCGGTGGAAATTCAAAAAGAACTGGTAGATTAAAGGTCATCTAACCAACTTCAACCTACCTTCAGTAATTACAGATTCACCACTTTCCTCTACCTCATTTTTAGCCGCCACAAAACACCCCAAGCTATCAATTTTTTGTTGGTGAGCTTGAGCATTCTTTGCAGTAAGTTCTTGCTCCTTTCTTTCATTGTGAGACTTATTAATCTTTTCTTCAAACTCCTCAATGCTTGATTTTAGCTCTGGTTTGGCAAACTTCTTCCCCTGAAAGAAATTAAAAAATAAAAAGCAGATAGGGCAATAGGTTATAAATTTGACCCCTAAACGATGTGATCCAGTTAGGAAACCAATTAATCATGGTGATGAAAGCACATAGGGCAATACCTTGTTAATTATGTTTTTAAAATGCTCCATTACAGTGTCCTCAGACAGGACATGTTCATATGCCTTAAATGACTCCATAAGCTTTCTCATGCTCTTTTCAGTGAATGCTAGCTGAGAAAGACAGTAAGAAATATACTCCCACTGCCTGATATCTGCACCAAAAGTATCCATAATAAACAGAAGCACCGACATTATTCACTGATAGAGAATTAAAGAGACCAACGACTTGAATATGCTTTCTTGGTTTAATATCATTTGGCAACTAGAAGATATAGCAACAGTCACATTAAAAGATATTGATCTTACAACAGAAAATACCCCATGTTCATAGTTTACAGAAATGGATTAGAGCTTTGGCCAATATAAGCACCAAGCAACTCCAAATTATCTAATCTTGTTAGACATGCCTCTCCTCAATATATTTGTCAAAGACATTAAGAGAGATTCAAATAATAAGGAAGAATGGGTTCATTATTCGAATGACAAAATAAAAGACATCTTTCAACTGGCCTACACGGTACATGATAGACTTTATAGTTCACAGAACAGGAAAACTGGAGAAAGTCTTTTTATTTCACAGGAAAAAATACATATTAGACGTAGGTCAGCATGATAAATCTCTAATGCCCAATCTCTATAAACATGCAGATGAGCAGTTAACAATGAGCTTAAGACAAATTTCTATATCCAATCTCTATATTTATGCACATTGTAGATGTACAGAGTAATTTGAGAGTTAAATATTTACTGTTTAAGGCTTCCATGATAACTATTTTTGGGTCATTGGGTGTCATAAAGTCACATTCAATGATTAATACAAACTAGATGATTATGACAAAAGGGTAAAATAAGAAAAATTGAAACTAGTCAAAAGTATAGTACCTGTCACTCCCGTAAACCTATTGCACAGCTTGTCAACAAGAGCTTCCATTTGTTTGTCCTGAAAATGTTCCATTAATTGACCCAACTTACAGCAAAATAAAACATTCTCATCGCAAACTAGGCTAAGCCATAAATACCTTCTTGATGGAACCAATTAGAAATTGCATAATGTTGCAGAAAGACTCTCCCTTCAAGTTCTGGCAGGACAGTTTTCCGAGGATATCTGGGAGTAGATTATATATAGGATTGCTCCCTGCAACCATAATTCAAAGAATTCAATGAAAAGAAGATGGTCTCAAGATCAGTTACTACTTAAATATCTGGTTAAAATATTTCACCTTTCTTTGACAACTCATTAAAAAAAAGTCTGGCCAGATTTGAAATCCTTTCATCTTCATCTTCCACTCTCATAGCCATTTCATTTATGTAACCTTTCACCTAAACATTTAATAGTCAAGATATATGCAAAGCATCTAGGGAAAACAGTAAAGAACAGGAGCACACAGAAGTCCCTCAAACCTTCATCATGTCATTTAAAATAAGATGAGAAAGAACCAACACAGCACTCTTCCTGACACAAACTGAAGGATCTCTCAGGCGTGCATACATGTTTTCTGTCCATGGCTCTAATAGATTGGGAAAACGAACTGCCAAATCTCCAAGAGCGATAGTGCAATTTGACCGAACAGTTTCTGATGGTGCATTCTCCACAACAGTGAAAAGCAGTTGAAGATTTGACTCACTAGGAAGTCAAAACACAAGCGGAAGAAATTAATATTTTCTTCTTGAAATGAATATCTATGCAAACGAGAAAGTCACTCTTACCAAAAGTCCGCATCAATTATCATAAACCTACATAAAGCAAGCATTGCTGATGTCTGCAGCTGAGGATACTACAAATGGATGCAGAAGTTCAACTCAGTATATTAAGTGAATTTTAGAAGACAAAAACAGAATGTAAGAGAACATTTAACTGAACTGGAATAAGACTAATCATTCACATGGAACTTGAATTGGATCACTCTGTTTTGCAGATAAGAAAATGGCATTTCCTATCTGTTGAACTAATTACGTCTTCTAGTACATTGGACATCCAAGCATCACACCATATCAATAATAAAGCAGGCAAAACTAAGTAAATTAATATTGTAATCTCCATGACACACTAGAAGGCAGCGAACTATGTATTACGGTATAAAAAAAAGTGT